AGTGCGCATAAGGGGGGGCGTACACGGGGGGGGGGGGGGTGGGGGGGGGGTGGGGATGGGGGGTTACCCCTCTTTGGTATTTGGTGTGTGTGGGGTGGGTTAAACCCCTCCCCAAACCAATAAAGTGTGCCCCCCCCCCCCTCCCCCCCCCCCCCCCTCACCCCCCTAACCCCCCCCCCTTTGTTTTTGTTTTGTTGTTGTAATTATTTTTAAAAATAAAAAAATTTCCCATGGCTGTCCTAAAAAGGTGACCTTACCCCCCCCCCCCCAACGGAGCCAAATGTCAGACCAATTTCGAGACCAAAAAAAAAAGAAAAAAAGTGTCCTCCCCCCCCCCCCCCCCCCCCCCCCCCCCCCCCCCCCCCCCCCCCCCCCCCCTTGAAAAAATCCTGCGTAAGCGCCTGGTACTAAGTGCCCTTTCTAAAAGGTTTTTTTTTAATGAAAATCCATATTTCCCATAAATTGTTTGAAAAACATTTTAATTTGCTTGATTTAATCAACTATATATACCTGTATCATACCCGGCCGTGTCATGTACATATGCACTGGGTATTGCTTAAGTGGGTAATTTTGAGCTTTTGTTATATGACATAATTTGGAACAACCTCTGTAAAAATAAAAACCTGACGATTTGCAAACACACAGCAATGTAAACAGCAAGAGAAGAGGTTGAAAATTGAAATGTGCTATTCTCACATCTATCTTTGCCCCTCATTTAAACTAGTTAAAGTATGAAAACGTCTGTTAACAGTTTAATGTAACATTTGAAACGTGCTAACAGCATACCAGAAAGTGCTGTTAAAATGGCTAAATATTTTGTATGAGTCACTTTTATTGAGATTTTTTCTGATAAATTACAATTAAGGATATACTAAAGCAGCCAGCCATGCCTTGCATCACAATGTGTGGCTTCAATATGTTATGTTTTATGGAAATTTGATTTTGTTTGCATCATATTTCTTCATATTTGTATACATGTATTTAGATCTAAATGAAATTATCAAAATAGTGTTTTTAACAGGAGTGTGCATTGCGAAATCGTAACTTGCACATATGATCGAAAATTAGTTGAAATTTGCAAACTATGTGTTAACAATCAAATAGTGTAACGTCCGAAACACCCTTCTTGAGCTTACACAAAATTAATGGATTTGAAAGACTTGATCTGTGTTTTGACTTGTGTTAAGACTTATAATAACTTATTTCAAAATGATTTATTCACTCCAGATACCCTCAAATATGGATTATCATCATTTATTTGGTATTTTTTGTTTCGGACGTTACATTTGTTTCGGACGTTTCAACTGTTACGGAAAATTGGTTTTAACTATAAAATAGTATTGTAATGATGTATTGCAAATTTCTTTCTTTTGGTGGATAGCCGCCATGAAATGTTAAAAAAATGTTACGAAAGATAGGTCCTGCAGTTGATATATTTTCTGCTACTTCAAATTGAAAGTTGTTTCGGACGTTACAAAATTGTTTACGGAAAATGAGCGCTACTACAATTTAATAATATTTTCTTTTAATTTAATGACTTGGAGTTAATAATAAGCTTATTCAAACAATAAACAATCTCATTAATTTATTGTTCTAGTGGGTTAAATGAGGGTCTACATTGTTTCGTAAAATGTAACGTCCGAAACACCATTTTCAATTGCAATGTTCCATCAAAATACAGGAGTTAATTTAGATTACTGTTAACTTTCTTTAAGATCCACCCATGCTCATTAATCATCAATAGACAAAACATATTGTTTGTGGGTATATATTTTTGTTGGCTCCAACCAAAAAGGTATGTCAATTTTGTTACAAAATTCCGTAAACAATTGGCTGTTCAGGGATACTTCATGCACATAAAGTTATCTAGAAAGTTGTCCATTAAGTTGTGGGAGGTCAATCTAGGTCCATGCTACAAGAAAAAGTTGTAATTGATTTCTAATTCTTTATCTTTAAAAAGTTTCAGGCTCTCAAAGGGCCATTTAGCCAGTGCCTTATTGAATATAATTCTCTTTTAAAATGCCGTTCATTCAAATCAGGTTCTGAGCATTCTTTAAGTCATTTTATAGCCCATCTGTACTAGTTTACAGGAGGGATTAGACCACCCTGCCAGGTCACTGGACAGGTGGTTATCTCATCGAATCAGCTCTCATTTAACATAAGATAAAAAGGATCAGGTGGGGACCAATGGTCACCGATTAAGCATTGTTTTATATATAGAGGGCGCATGTAGCTATAAGTAGTACAGTGGGAATTTAAAAGGTGCTTTATTTCAAAGCCAAAAAACACACTGTATTGGTCTTGATATTCATTGTACATTTAAATTGTCTTTTACCATAATAGAGTATTTTATTTTATTTGTTTGTTTAAATGCTTGACATCCCAATGATTTTTTTTCATGGACAAATAACAAAATAAAAAAAATAAAAAAGGGGAATTAAAACCAAACAAATTATAAAAAAGACCCCCCAAAAATGAAATAAAAAATAAAAAATCCGCCCGCTCGCCCGTTCTCCAAAAAAGCTATCGAGGAAAACCAAATGATTTTTGTTTGGCCTTACGAGTATATGCGAGTCTCCTATTCAAATCGCTAATAATATATATATATATACAGGGTAGGTTCAGGGAATTGAAGACCCCTTAGTTGAGTTCTGTTTTCAGACCGCAAATGCCTTCAAAGTGCATGGTTATTGCTCTTATTCTTATCTATGACATAATTATATAGTGTCCTTTAGAACCTAACATTGCTTTGAAGGTAATTTAAGACCCCAAAATGTGTGAAATTTAGCCAATACGATCATACCAATTCAGCTCCATTTTCAAAAAAACACGGTGACCGTTAATTAATTATTTAATTAAAAATAAAAAATACATAAGCCGGCTGGTTGTGGGTAATATAAGCAACACGAAAATGCCAACGAAAAGGCAAACATCGGCATTTACTGAAATACAACGTAAAAGACGTTAGTTATTTTTGTTAACGGTTTTTTTCAAATTTTTCAAAATATCTAATATTTGTGGTGGTACACAAGTATTAGAAATCGTGTAATTTCATCCGTCTCTGAACCGATTTTGATCAAACAAAGATGATTTTGTCATTTAGATATTATGTTCTTTCAAATTTGACACTCAGTTTTTCTTTATCTCACACAATTTTTTTTTGTGTAGCGCCCTCTCTGCAACAGACTCAACTTCTCCTTTAAGCACATAAAATGTAGGCGTGTTTTAAGGGGTGTTTGTGTGGGTGTATGTGCACTTGTGTGTATGTGTGTATGTAAGTTTTTTTTCTTCTTTTTTTTTTCTTAAATGCCTTTTTATGTTCATGCCTTCTTCATGCATGCATGTTTCATGCTTTATTTGATGTAAATAGTAAATGTTCATTTGTATTATTTAAATGTGAATGTAAAATCATATTATATATAATAATATTAACATGCAGATTATTTTATGTATTGATTTTGTTATTGTTTGTGAAAAGCAATGGAGAAAATAGAATATCATTGAGAGGAAAACAAAAGAAAAAAAAATCCCTCGTTATCAAGCCTTGTTATCAATTTATGTTCATGCCTTCTTCATGCATGCACGTATAATGCTTTATTTGACGAAAATAGTAAAAGTTCATTTGTATTATTTAGATGTGAATGTAAAATCATATTCTATATAATAATATTAACATGCAGATTATTTTATGCACCGGTATTGATTTTATTGTTTGTGAAAAGCAATGGAGAAAATAAAATATCATTGAAAAAAAAAAAAAAGAAGCATAATTTACATAAACATGAACAATGTTACACATACAAGCAGTTTTGTATTCTCTTCAGTAACTTCTTCTCTTTATTTGGTATCAAAATTGTGGTCATGATGTAACTGATTAATAAGATAACAATGATTAATGACGTCATCACCAAAGGTCTCTTATTACCTACATGTGCAGGTAATAATAGTCAGGTGGCTTAATTAGCGTCAAATTTATTGTTACCGGCCGGATACAAGCGCCATTTTTGGTACAGGGCTTCCTTAGGGCCTACTGAACGATATTAGGGTAGAAGCCCCCGGCAAAAATTTAAAATAGGGGTGTGGTTGGGGGCGTCGTCCTGGAGCCCCCAAATGAAAAAAAAGGAGAAATAACATTGATTTGTTGTTGTACGAATGCAATGTTTGGTACAGGGTTTCCTTAGGACCTCCTGAACATTTTGATGGTTGGAGCCCCACCAAATTAATTATAAAGGTGCGATTTGCGTCGGGGGCGTCGTCCAAAAGCCCCTCAAATAAGAAATATGGTAAAATAACATTAATTTGTTGTTGTAAAAATGCAATTTTGGGTACAAGGATTCCGTATGACCTTCTGAACGATGTGAGGGTAGGAACCCCCGGAATTATATTCATATATGTGTGAGGGGGTGGGGCGTCATGCCAGAGCCCCCATGTTATGAATAATGTAAGATCACATTGGTTTGTGGTTAAACGACCGCCTGTATTTGGTACAGGGCTCTCGAAGGACTTTCTTAACGATATTAAGGAAGGAGCCCCTAGAAAAACATTCACATAAGTGTGAAGGTTGCAGGGGTGTTGTACCAGAGCCCCCACATAATCACGTTGATTTGTTTAACCAGAATAGTTTGCATACTCTGGGGGTAGACTGTTGTGAATTTCCAGTAAATACTCCTATCCCAAATAACAACAGAACACGGTCATACAGTAAATTAAGGTAAGGGGGGTGTAGCCTCGCAAACTGATCCACATGGCAATGCCACTGTATTTTTACATTTTAAACATTGGATTGTGATACTAAATCAGTACCTTTTCTATTTGACATGGATTTAAGAAAACAAGAAATAATTCATAATTAATGATGCATGCGGAAGGGTTGGTTTATACAGCTATACAAGCCTTCCTCCTAACACACCCTTTACACCATTTAATGTCCAACCATTCGAAGGCATGAACCCCTCATCACCCCTCGCCTGTAATTCAACAATTTGCAGCAAGAGGTTTTCATGCCAAGTACAGGCCCCAAGGATGAACGATCAGCCAAGGAGTGGAGAGATCACATGCTGACGAAGAGCCCTACTTTCATGTTCTCGTGCCAGATCATGAAATATGAAGCCCTCATACTCATATTCATCAGAGCTCACAGAGAGAAAAACTTCCCACTGTATGTGTATTGCAGGTGGACGCCTGTCCACATTTGAGATATGAAGTCTTTACCAGCCACTGTCAAGAAGAAGTTTGATGAACACTCACACTGGGTTTTTTCCAAAACATCAAACGAGCTTTCTTCGATTCATTTGAAAAGGCCCATGAGCAAGGGAACAAGATTGTGAAAGGTGCAGGTGGCGCTATTGGACTCCTGGAAAACCCTGCTGCTCTCTGGACCAGAAATTGCTAGAATGCTGAAAGAGTTTGAGGAAGAATACTTCACGGAAGATGATATGGAGAATCCTAAGATCTTGCAGCATGCACCATGAGCAAGGTCTCTCATCACAGAAATCGTTCCAGAAACAATCAATGCCCTTTCTACAAGCATCAGGCAAACGGGTAGTCCATTTTCGGATGAGTGTAATGATCTGATAATGCTTGATAATTGCAAATGCACAGACAGAGCCGTTGCTACCAGAGTCCACACTCTGGAGGAGACTAGAAGGAAAGAGTACCAAGAGTTTTCAAGACTGTGCTTGATGAGCGCACCTACTCAATCCACCGAAACTTACTGGCTCTCTTCAGAAATTCCCACTGCAAGATAGTTTAGAAGTAAGAAGATCAAAGTGCTTCATAGCAATGTAGCACTATTAGGCCAACTCTACATCGCTCTTATCTCTCAGACTTCGGTACTGATCATCATCTACCAGGTACAAAGTCTGACTTGCTGCATTGCCTTGAGCAGCCTGACCAACCAGAGCCACCATCAGCATATTGCTGTAAAGTCTTCGATGGAGCTGTCATCGTCCACTGTCTGCCTGTTATCGGCATCAGTACGTTGATGGGTACGCCACGAAGTGTTCCTTCCATACCTTGAGAAGCAACTGCAGACTACCAAGAGATTAGATCTTGTGTGGGACACTTAATACACTCCAGACAGTTAGAAAGTCAGAGTCTACCCATGAAAAGAAAGGAACTGGCATCCATAGGAAAGTGTCTTGATGTTTTAGTCATCCGTGCCGGCAAATTCAATTATCTTCTCAAGACTCAACCATTAACTGACATCTGGGTGGCATAAGGTATGGGGAAGAAATACAGATACTTCCACATCAATGCCATCTGGGGGAGTTTGGGAGAGCCAATGTCACAAGCACTTCCAGTATTACACTCATATTCGGGTTGCGACACAACACCAGCATTTCATGGCACGGGAAAGAAGTTAGATTGGCAGGCTTGAAAAGTGTACGATGATGCCACAGAGACATTTTGTTTATCTAGCCAAGCATCCCTTTTAGAAGATTACCGTTGACTCTGAGCCTTTTCAGGTTCTTGAAAGACAAATCGAGTCCATCAAACTCCATCAATGAGACAAGAAGAAAGCCTCCAGTACGACGCCCCGCCCCAAAATCACACATTATATGAATATATTGTTGGAGGCTCCAACACTAATATCGTTCAGCAATTTCTTAAAAGCCCTGTACCAAATATGGCATGTGTACAACACCAAATCCATGAAATTTTAAATGAATTTCTTTTCAGTAGTATTCAGTATTCAGGGAAAAAAGGGATTATGCACTGTATATGATGTGGGGGCTCCGGAACAATGCCCCTGCCCCTTTACTCTTAAGTGATTGTTTTTAAGGGTCTCCTTCCTTAATGTCGTTCACAGTAGGTCCTAACCTAAGAGAGCCCTTAACCAAAAACAGACGGTCGTATAAACACATACCCATGTGATCTTACATAATATATAACATGGGGGTTCTGGCACGACACCCCGCCCCCATTCACACATATATTAATATAATGCCGGGGGCTCCTACCTTTACATCGATCAGAAGGTCATAAGGAATCCCTATAACCGTTTTACAACAAGAAATCAATGTTATTTTACTTTATTTCTTATTTGGGGGTTGTGGGGCGACACCCCCACCTCAAATCGCATCTTTATAAATATTTTGGTGGAGCTCCAACCCTCGCAATGTTCAGAAGGTCCTAAGGAAGCGCTGTATTAAAATTTGCATTCGTACAACAACAAATCAATGTTATTTTACCTTATTTCTTTTTGGGGGCTGTGGAACGACGCAACCCGCCAACCACGCCCTTACATGCATTTTTTTTGCTGGGGGTTTATATCCTTATATTGTTCTGTATGTCCTTAGGAAGCCCTGTACCAAAAACTACATTTGTACTACAACAAATTAATGTTATTTCACTTTATTTCTTATTTGGGGGCTCCAGGAAGACGCCCCCGCCCACCACCCCCTTATTTGAAATTTCTGCCGGAGGCTTCTACCCTTATATTGTTCAGTAGGTCCTAAGGAAGTCCTGTACCAAAAATGGCGCTTGTATCTGGCCGGTAACGATAATTTCACTAAGCCACCTGACTATAAGGGAAAGTTACAAATCAAAACATTTTAAGTACAATTTGAATGAAAATAGGATTGTTATAGTTAGTTAAAACATTTTTTGAAAGAGATACATGCAGCCAATGAACTTACTGTAATTTTTAAACGATTTTAAAACAATGTGGCCTACTTGGGATACTCCCAAAACCTGTTTTGTATACAAACAAAGGTGTACAGTCTATATAAACCAGCTCGCTGATCTCACATTTTTATTTATATTGTCCAGAAACCTCATGAGTCTTCTCATTCTATAATACATCCCAAGTTGGCCACCCAATATCTTCATATATCGAATTGAAATCCAAATACATTGTATTACATACATCTGTGAATCTTGATGTACACCACCTCTTTTTTTCTTCTTTTTTTTTCTCTCTCTCTCTCTTTTCCCCTTTTACCAATATTTGTTCCACCATATTCGTATTATTATTTATCCATTGAGGGTAGTCATGCTATTAAGCTTTGCATACTTTGTCAACCCTCCTGTTTGATGTTTTCGATTAGTTACTTTATTCGACGTAATATTCTTTTGAAATGTGTAAAATTTGCAATGTTGTGTTTGTTATATATTTGTAATAGGGCAAAAGAAAGAAAATCAAACAGAAATAAATAAATCATATGTGGCCCAAAATATTTCTTTACATGGACAATTAACCGACCAGCATCGGGTCATAGACTTTCCTCGGCATACTCGACATTCACAATAAACGACCCCCATCTTGGACCTGGTTCACACATTTCTGATCAGACACCCGGCAGACACCATTCATAATGTGCATTGCAACACCCATTTACAACACACAATGGCCATATATTTTCTGTGATGGTTGGCACACTTCATAAACTTCCTTTTAAAACTACTTGTTAAGAACCACCTTTAAATATCTGCATACACCACAAAATTCAGTGAAATTTGTGTTTTTATATAAGAGAAAACATTTACGATAAAAATTGCTTACCCTGGTCAATCTTGCCAATTTTCTCGGAGAAAGAACGTATTTTAGTCTTCGAAATGAATTGGATATATGCAGTAGTGTTGTTAAAGGCCACAGATGGCTCTATAGCAATATTGAAGCCAACACGGACAAACAGTGATGTGTTCAAGCTTGGTGGTCTCCTATTCCCTGCGGTCTAAAATTCCCTGCACCTACCCTACTCGTGATACAGGCCCCGCGCAACGGCGTTTCACATCGACATGGGGCCTGTACCACGACTATACTAGAATACTCGTGAAAAAGGCCCTACTCTAATGTATTTTTATAACGGACAACACGGTAGTGGGGCTTCTTTCACCGAAGTATTTAGTGGCGTTTCGAGGTTTAATAAAGGAATTAAAAGGGAGTTAAAAGGGAGTTAAAAGTGATTAAAAAGAGGGACGAAAGGTACTAATCTTTAATCCAAAAAAAAAAGGGGGGGGGAGGGAGGGGCAACCTAAATATATATTAAAGAAGGAAAACATATTTAAAAAAAGGATACATTTAAAGAGTAGGGGCAACTCAAATAGACATTTGTGTATTTAAAAAGGGGGGAGGTTGAAAGGGACCTATTTTTACATTAAATTTTTAAGGGGGCAGCTTGAATAGATATTTAAGTAGGAGAAATTTAAAAATAAAAGATATATATATATATATATATATATATATATATTTTTTTTTTTTTTTTTTGGGGGGGGGGGGGGGGCAAATTAACTAGACTTTTGAGTGTTTTAAAAGTGGGATGAAAGCGACTTATTTTTTTAATTAAGGAATATGGGGGGGGGGGTAACTTAAGTCTATTTGAGTAGCCCCTACTCTTTAAATTTATATTTGTTTAAAATATTTTTTCCTTCTTTAATATATATTTAATTTGCTTCAGCAGCTCCCCGATTGTGGAACAGTCTTCCTAATACACTTAAGGACTAGAACTGTAAATCAGTAGATATTTTCAAAGCCAGCCTTAAAGCTTATCTAATGGCCAACTTTAACTAATATCATCTTTTTTTATAACCATGTATTAAGCATAATTGTATCTAAGAGGCTGTTCACACCGGCAGAGATAGCGCGCGCTAGACCGCGCTATCTCTGCGGGTTGGAAGGTACAACGTCGTTTCGGTCCGCCCAACAGCGAGCCACGGCGAGCCAAAACGGCGTGCCACTGGAGCACCTCTTGTGGGTGGTCCACGAGAGATAGCGCGGTCTAGCGCGCGCTAGAAAAAAGGGGGTGCTACGATAGGCCGCCCTATCTCATGGCGGTGTGAACAGCCTCTTAGTATATTATGTAGCTCATTGTAAGCATCCGAGCGGGGAAGAGTCTCGGGGGGGGGGGGGGGGGGTACAAAAGGCACGGAGAGTTGTCCACAGATGAGGTCATCAAATTAAATATCGCCCTCTAGTGACTAGGCATTTCAAAAAGCTCTCACTTCCTTATTCCTTGCCCGATTTTGTTCTAATTTTCACTGATTTTATTCCAATGTCTTAAACTTTACAATAAAAGTAATTTAGTATGAAGGTTTTGGTTCCCTTTAAATTAAAATAATCAAAATAGAAACAGATTAAAAATTGAATAAAATTAGTTTTTACGTAGTCTTGCAGATCAGGCGTTTATAAGAAATAAATCAATAAATAACAAGAAACACAATCAAATAATTTACTTTGATATTTAAAAATGTCATATAAAGGTATTTTCATAGTCTTGCATTAAGTCGTTTATTTATTAAACTAACCAAAAATAATATCCATTTCTTTCTATGTATGGAATTCAGACCCCCCCCCCCCTCCCTGCCAGCTTATCCCGACAAGGTGCATTAAGGCGGTAGGCCTACTCCGTTATTTATTTATTTATTTGTTATTTAATTTGTAAAGACTGTTATGCATGACTAGGTTACATCAACAAATGATTTGTATACGTAGAGAGAAATGGATATTATTTGTATTTGACTTTTCAAATATTTATTGAAATTATTAATTGATTTAATTCTTATAAACGCCTGATCTACGCCTGTCCCTGTGAGGCGGACATTTCGAGGAGAGGTTAAATATTCAAGAAATGTATCAAGTAGTAGATTTTTCACACTAATAGTGGTATGGAACCAAAATCCATTTTGCAACGTCGTGCCTCTCTTCTCTGGACATATTTCTCTATACAGGCCAATGCTGCCCACTTTGATTATTAATGTGTTTTAAAGGCAGGGGCGTTGTTACAGGGGGACCACAACCTCATTAAAAGTTGGCCACATTTGGTAGAGTTTTGTTAACCAAACATTATGTGTCATGAAAATTGTGTACGCCCCGATATTGCGTTAATTAAACAAGTTAGGTTCTAATGGTTAAATTTGTTCTCTTGTTTTTTTTATGTTTTTGGTGATACGCTCTGCAAATTTTCTCTCTCCTCTAATAATTATATTTTCTTTTTCTAACTGATTATACTACACTTGTCAATAATTATTGTAG